TTGATAAGTTCGAAATTGTTCAATGAAGAACGATGAAGAGAAGATAATACGCCTCACTTTAATTCAATATCAATAATGTTAAAGGTTTTTAACAATTGAATGGAAACTCCTATTTATACTAAATCTAAAAACTAGGTAAAAATCGTGCAAAAGTCGAGCATAATCTCCAAAATATGGAAAAGAATCAAAATCTAACAAAATATGAAAAATTGCCAAAATTGAAAAATTCGCCAAGTTTTTTGCCTGTGCGGCCGCATGGTGTATTTCCATGCGGTCGCATGGTTCAAAAAAAAATCCCAATTTAAGTTTCGGTATGCCACTGTGTGGCCGCATGGTGTTTTGCTGTGCGGTCACACTGGCTTATTTTCAGCCTCCGATTTCGTCGCTTGATAACAAATTGATCCAAGTTGATTCGGCCTTCGACCCGAACATGAAAGTTGCTCCATTTTGAGTCTCGAACATGGTTCCATCAATGGTTTCTTGAACGAGCAATCCCATCGCTTGTTTCACTTGTTTTGCCCTTGATCGCGTCATTGGTCCACCATCGACTATTAACGGGTCTCGTCTTGCACTTGCCTTCGTTGGGCTCGACTCCTGGATCATATCAACGCCTTTCAGTTGGTACTTTTGGCTTCGATGATGTTGACGGAGCCTGCATTTATAGTCGAATGAATGAGACATAATGTTAGGAATGAGTTTTATTTGGGAACATAACACTTCAACTTACCTTTGGTTTCTTTGAAGTCAACCCCTTTCTCCGAAGTTTCTTAGGTGTACCCTTCTTTTTCACAGCTTTAGGGTCCAATACGGTGCAACTTGCATTTTCTTGTGAACTTGTGAAATTCAAGGATACTAGAACAGTGTGCTGCGATTGGATATTGCTTCCGATGCTCGACCTTGAACTCGTAAGTTCTTTCTCTTGAACTCCAAAGTCCAATCCATTCCATTATCGCATGGGTCCGGGCTTCGTCTTCTGCGGCTAAGTCCGCTATGGTAGCAAATGCCTGACACATTCTATCATACCACAGCTGTCCAGGAGTGCTTACCAGCCCAGCATAGTTAACAGTGACCCTGGTGTGTGCTCTACTAACATCCCTTCTCCATCATCGTAGTATATAAGTATCCGGGAGTACAGTGACGCCATTGCGGATGAGTACTGCGATCGTATGCCTACAAATAATTCCCCGAAACTCAAACAAGTGACAGCTATATACAATTTCACAGTTCTCTCTCTCAAATAAGACTGCAAATATTTTTCTCCTCCGTCGATCGTCGCATAGCACATCGTCGTGTACCTCGTACGTCGTCCCCGAACAACTATTCACAGAAGATACAATGTCACAATATACCTTCCCCGTGAACTCAGCTTGTACTTTCCTGAATTTTGAAATTGGGTATACTTCCTGGAATTGCTTCTCAATTTCATACCCAGTTGCGCATGGAACCATTTGAGCGAATGACTTGAAATCAGCTTGGAACTCCTTCTCCACCTTATTTCAAAGTGCGTGTTCATACTGTTCCACGAAATTTCGAATGCACATATCCATCGAAAAAAGCATTCATACTCTCAGATCGTTGTGTTGTTGACATTCCGACCCAAAATGTTGTTTTCAAAAAGCAAGGAACCATCGTCCTCTATTGTCGTAAATACCCGACAACCACTCATTATTTTACAACTCATATTCCTCTATCATTTTTTTCCAACCACCCTCAAATTCTTCAACAGTCTACGAATCATACACCAACATGTGTATAGCCGAAAATATCAAACCCTTATCTACATGGTAACCAAACTTTTCTGTTAACTTCTTTAGAATGTGCCATAAACACCATCTATGCTTCATATTAGGAAAAACTATTTGTATTGCGTTTTGCATGCCCTATCTTGGTCGGTTATTATTACATGCGGAGCTCGACCGTGCATGCACTTAAGTCACATCCTAAACAACCATACAAAGGTATCTATGTTCTCATTTGATATCAAACCATAACCGAGTAGTGTTGATTGACCGTGGTGATTCACACCAACAAACAGAGCAAACGACATGCCGTATTTATTAGTGAGATACGTAGTATCAAATGTGATAACATCACCGAACTCTTTATATGCTTGACGACACCTATTGTTGGCCCAAAATACATTTTTCAACCGCGATTCTTCGTCCAAATCAATACTAAAGTAAAATCCCAAGCACTGTGCTTGCATTTCAAAAAAGTAAGACTGTATTGCTGCAGCATCTCCCTCCCCAAGTTTTAATCGCCTCACTTTTTCGATATAGTTCCTACAATCCTTTTCCACACAAGTGAGATTCTCAAAACCACCTACTTCAACAACTGTAGAGTTGAAACTCTTGTGCAATGGAATTCCTGCCATGTCATTTACTTCAATCTTTCGTTTCACATGTGCACTTATTTCTCAATTGTATCGATACAACCTCGACTTCAAAGGACTCGTCTTATGATTGTGGTCGAGATCTACTTTTCTAATTACCCAGAAACCATGATAATCAAAAGTTGCAGAGATCCTAGCTTTACAACCTATTTGAATTGTTGGTTACGGCTTCAAAGAACCGCTTGTGGAACTGCTTCGTCGTCCTTCAAGACTACATGTCAACGTTATATATTGCAGAACTCCATCGTCATCTTTCTTCGAATTCCTTTTCCTGACTAGGAAACCAACCTCGTAAGCATATCCCTTGTAGAAATCATAAACTTCATTTTTGTCATTGAACTTCATACCCACTTCAGGCACAATCACATCTTCTTCTCCTCTAGTTTTATCCACACATAAGCTCATATTATCTTCCACATTCGCATTTTCGGATTCCAATCTTGACTTGTCTTCTACCACTTCCATAATTTCTTCTCTTGCGTCCAAATTAAATGTCCTCATTCAACAAAAATTAACCACTCCACAATTCCAAGACTGATGCATAACAATCATATGAGAGAACAAAAATATTTTATCGGAGCAGCCAATAAATTGATGTCAACATAATAACACATTGGAACATATCAACAATTGCAGGAACAATTGTTAAAAAGAGGAATTTAACATTAATGTAAGGAATTTAACTTATCAAGTGATAATATCAAACTTAATGACAAGTATAATCTCTATTTTTTCTTATCTATGATATATAACTAGGTTTTGAGGTTGTACCCATCAGTGGTCGAGCTCTTTGGACTTGAAGGAGAAATACAATGTTGAGCTCAACTCGAATTTCTACAATACATCAATCGCAGTTGCTTGCTTTGTTCTGTAAATTTGCTTTATTGTTGGGAAAAATGATGGCATGTACATGTAGATGGTGGTCTGAGGCCGGGTGTGGCGGCGTCGAGAAGGCGAGTCTTCGCCGGTGTCGTAGAATGTGGGCAAGAAATTTTGGGTATTTTTTGTGTACATTGTCTTTGTGAAGAAGGAGCAATCTAAATGGTTTAGCCACGCCGGAAGCGTCACTTGCGGTCGCCGAGAAGTATCGTCTCCGGCGACGGCGTACAATGTGGAGGAGAAATTTTCGTAGCTACTGGTGCAAATAAATGTCTGAACTCGTGTATGAGAGAGAAAAGAAAAAAGCCTTCCCGCTACTTTCAATTCTTGTAGCAAATTTGAAATTATTTACTTGGTCAATCAATTTGTCTTGTCTTCCCTTGCCACGCCACATTGTAAGGGCACATCGTAAGACCACATTGTACAAGTAGCACCACTGTTAATATTATTGTCATTGTCCTTTTGTCAACTCCATAACTCTTAATAAAAGGTGCAATGTCAATACTCAATACGCATCAAGTTCAAGAAAATTGGTGAATTAAGGGCAACTCTAACTATAACACCAAAACATATTTGGTGTATTGTTAGTTCAACCCAATAACAAATTTTGTACCATTTTCATGCAAAATAGTGTAAGTGAATAGTGTTGCATTATATATTTTGATAAAAGTCTCTTTTGCCCTTTTCTCATTTAGCATCAAATGATGTTGAGGGTATTTGTGTCATTTTATATTATACATAAATTTTAATTATTATCATTAATTGAACATTTGTGAGATGAATATACAAATTTCGTTAATTAAATTATGACACTTGGTCGACTTTATTGTATCATACTATCGAAATTCAAAATGTATTACGTTGTTTTTTAATAACATGATTTAGTATTTTATTAATTGTGGTATTTTTATTAATTGTACTACATTTTTAAAAATTATTAAAGAATTTAATATTTTCGTAAGCGAAACGTAATTATTTATGTAATAATTTATGTAGCAGTAAATTAAATAAATAAATAATTTTTCTGCTATATAAATTGTTAAAAATAAAAAAATATAGAAAATGATTAAACACTATTTATTTGGTATAAATTTTAGCATAATGGGTTGAAGATGATTTTTAATTTGGTGCAAAATTTGATACAAAATGGAGCAAATTTTGATGAAGGGTTGGAGATTGCCTAAGATAAAGTTCCAGTGTATCTAAACATCGTACTATTAGTAGATCTTATAAAAACTAATGAAAGTATGGTTGAAATATTGATGAGAATTACGAATTCCATTATATATATAGTAAAAATTAATTATTGACTTTGACTTAATTTTAACTGCAACAAACGAGTAAATTCAAGTAAATTTGGCTTCTGTGTGGCCCCATTATTTGAATTTATAATAGGGGAATAATATTTTTTTTTAAAAGGTGTAGTTAAAAAGTTTTCGATTTGAATGTAATATTATTTTATTTAAAATTGTGTGATTAAAAGTAGGAGAGAGAAAAAATTAAATTAAATTGAAGAGTTTTAAAGGACCAAACGGGGCTTGCGTACAACTTTATATTCTTTGACAATAAAGGGCAAGTTTATTGACATGACAGCAAAAAGAAAGAACACAAAATCACGGGCTGCCATTATTTTGTTTTCTTCCACATGCAAACGATATCCTGCATTAAATCCTCTTTTAAAGTGCTTTTGTTTGTTTCTCGTAAAAAATCCACAAATAAACGCACCAAAGACTCACGGGATTCCAGTCCCTTTTTCACCAACATAAACACATATTTATAAACATTATTATATGTATATGAAAAGAACACAAGCTGGGTAGTTCAGTTTTAGTAGAAAGAATGAAAGATACTGAAAAATCTCATGTGGAACAACAGCCTCAGCCCGATATTGCTGATGCTGAAGCTGAAAATCCAACACACTTCAAGAACTCTCTGCAAGTTAGTCTCTATATCTGGTACATAGCTAATCATATTATAGTTTCAATGCTAAGTACTCATTATCTGTTTATTACAGGAGCTGAAGGACTTTAGCTCTCAACTTCATCATGCTGCTGATTATTGCCAAACTTCTTTTTTGAATGACAGAAACAAGGGAATGTAAAGTCTTTTCTACCCTATATACTAATGTCGATTAGTCTTGTTTTGCTAATTTGTAGAGCCTAATTATTGTCGATGAACGAAGTTCCCAGAACAAATTTTACTAAAGATAATTTAGGAATTTCGCACTTATAATTTCGATTTTGCCCTAATTTATCTTTTAAATACATAGTTGTCATTAGAGTTTCTCATAACCATGGAAGAGAGAGAGGGGGATAGAGAAGATACGATGTATTTTTTATTTTTTATTTTTTTAATCACAGTGAATTACTACAGTAACGAAAGAGGATGTAATCTCACATTAAAACGAGCCTCTATAAATCATGCGTGTTTTTGTGTCCATTTCGTTTCTACAAAATTATTACTCTTAGTGGTAGAATTATAGCTTATAATTCTCAATATATTTTACCCACTAAAATACTCTGTATCAAATATACCATGTAACTTTAAAAAACTAAAAAGAATAATTTAAATAGAAACTCTAATGGGAACGAGGAAGAGTTGAATAACTACTTATCTTTGTTAATTATTCTTATTTATTTATTTTTTAACATAAAGTTTCTTAATTTCATGCATCTATTAATGAATTGTAAGTTGTAGATTTGTTTTTTATAACACAAGTTTTGTTTTGCAGTACTGTGGTGGATAACACCAAGGACTACATATGCAAGGCTATGGTTATAATTGTTGACCATTTAGGCAGCATATCATCTAATCTTGAATCTTGTGTTTCAAAGAGCAATACAATTCCTGAAACTCAACAAAGGATTGAGACCTTGAAACAGGTTCATTGTTCTTTACACAATTACCAAAACAATTTTTTCAATTTTATTTTTGGTTCTGCATTATAAATATTTTGGTGTTCTATAATTTATTTTGCATATGTAACAAATATTTAAGCTCAATTATCAACTTGGAACAAAACGAAGTTTGTCAACATGAAATTCCGTGAAAAGTGTGGGGACTATTTTCGGCTTTGACCTTGTATTTATATGTTCATTGTTACGTTTTTGTGGTGTTTACAGAGACTTTTAACGTGTCAACAATACTCACAGAAGCTTGCTCTAGCAAACATTTATTGGAGTGCTGATTTTCGAAGATATCACCGTCACTATACATCAAGTAAATATTATAATTCTTTCTAATTTTTATTTTTACTTTTACTTTTTTACCACTACTAATACTTTTGATCTATGCGTATTGATATCGGCTACGGCAGATTCAACAACAATGAATCCAGAATCAAGGTAAGATCAAGTATTTGTGATGGTTGTGGTAGTGGTAGATGGTGGTATGGGGTGATAGATGTTGTAGGGACCACGTTGCGGTATTTTATATATGATGTTCGTCGAACAAAAAATAAAGAGTTAGGTAATAGTCGACAAAACATTTGACCCATATAAAATTAGAGACAAGTAAGCGTAATGGAGGGCCGTAATATAACATGTTAGAGCATCTTCAAAAGATTTTTTAAATTAACATTTTAAAGTAGAAAGTTAAGAGCTAAACCTACTCTCTATAATTAAATGCATTCAAAGTATTTCAATTTTCATTGTATGATTTCCATACATTTCATAAATTTTTCGTTTCTTATGTTTAAAATGCCGATATCTTAGAGATTAACAAAATTTTAATTATTATATTCTATTTCAAAAACCTGCACGACGACGTCTAAAGTTTATTTATTTAATCGAAAGTCTGACACGTGCAATATTCTTCTTTTGTCACATGTTAACTATGGACCAGTACGAGGAAAATGGAGAGGTCTCCAAATCCAGGTAATTACAGAAAAAAAAATACTATTATATAATTAAAAACAAAATTTTAATAACCCGAAATCTAAATATTTCCGTATATACTTGGGGCTTTGTAGGGTTGCTGGTTGACAATAGCCTATCGATTTCGCCAAAAGCTGAAAAAACATATTTTGAGTTTCAGGTGAATTATAATTTATTTCTATTCTATGTTCACAAATATATTGTATCTGTAACAAAGTAAATTGTATAGTATTGAATAATGTTTAAAAAAATTGAAAATTCTGCCTATGGTACTAACTAAACTTGTATGTTTTGACTGTAGGCGACTCCAAAGGTCAAACGTAGCATGTTGAATTGGAAATTACTCAACAAAAGAGAAATGAAATCACGAATTATTCGACGTCGTAGACGGACTCCAACTTAAATACTATATATATGGTATTTAAATATTCTATATGTATAGTCACGGTTTGCTCTAGACAATGTTTGTTTTTGTATAATGTTATGTCACGTATTGTCTTTGGAAACTTATGAGTCTTAATTAATTAAATTTTAACCAGATCTTATAATTAATTTATGTTGATTATTTTTTCTTAAAAATGTAATGGTACATAGATTTAAAGAAAAAAAAATCATACAAAAGATTTAATAATATGAATCGGGATAAATATTCACGTATTGAATGAGTAATGACCAAATAAATTTATGAGGGTAATTTTTTTTGAAGTAAATGAATATCAAAATTTAGATAATGAGGTTTACATCAATATTTTCGTGTAAATTTGAAATCTTTGTTCATTTTTTATCTTATGTCCTCAATTTTTTATTCACATTTTTGTTTCAACCCTCTATTATTTTTCACATATTGACTCTAATGATGGTTTCTGTAAAAAAAAAAAAAAAAAAATTAAATTAAGGAAGGTAAAAACACTTCTTTGCATTTTGTATTTAAAAATACGCAAAATAAATCCCATTTCCTTTAAAAGAGAGAATCCAACAAGTACTGTTCATTTTGAGGCAGAGGATTCACACAGAACTGATTTCTTACTGTAGATAAACTGGTTCTGCCAAAAAGCATTCAAAAAATGAATTAATGAGAGTATTTAATGCTTTTGTGCAAAATCCATTGCCAAAATGTCAGAGAAAAACATTTATTGAGCCTTCATTGTTGAATTTTATAGTCCTTCGCAAAATGTGACAGAAAAAATTTACTGGCTGAAATTTGTACTTTTCATTTTTTAAATGAAAGAAAATTCGTATAAATGAATTAATGAGACTATTTTATTGGATTTATTTGTTTTAGGTAAGTTGGTTACTATAGCTGCAAAAATGATTTGTGACAGCTAAAAATGTCATTCACATAAATGAATTTAATCAGCCTTCATTGTTGACTTCAGAAGGTAATAGTTGTCTGCCCAAAAAAATATATCAATATGATTTTATCACATAACTACCTATAAATATAAGAAAACTTTCAAAATGAGCAAATTGGTTTCATTATAGAGAACTGAATTCCGTGAAATCTCTCTTAAACGAAAGGAAGACACTATTTTTCTGTCTTGACAAAAGTCGTAAATCGTTTGTAAATTAATTAATCCTTCTCTGGATGATCTACCAAATTGCAAAAAGAAGTAGAATTCTGTGAAAGAAGCTTCTCTATCGACGGAGGAAAGGGAGTTCAAGCGAGATATTGAGGAGTTGAAGGCTAATGTGAATTCCCTAGAACTTTCTTTTTCACTTTTGTCTTCCCTTCAAATTTGTTCATTATTGAGTCTCATAAAAATAGCTTTAACCTTTTGTTGCTAAATCTGTTTGTTGGGTTTGTTTTCATTTTTGAAAATTGGTGTTTACTTCATACTTCTTTTAATATTTAATAAACTGTAATGGTTATTCATAAATCAATTATAATTGTTTCATGATTTTGGAAAACAGGGAAGTGGTGAGTTTTTGTTAAATTTTGTGAACGCTGTTTTATGGGATTGAAGACTTGTTGAAATTTTTGTTCAAGATTTATTAATTTGTTTTTGTAGTGCATTAATAAATAGTTTGTTGCAGTAGTCATTTGGTGGAATTATAAAATAGCTTAGAATGACCAAAATGAAAAGAAATAACATTTAATCAAGAATGATACGGTGAACTATTTTTTTAGACATTTAGAAATTTACAACGATAGATTGAATAACATTTTCAAATGTTTTTACTTTTGTGTATAGACATATTATTTATTATAGAAGTGGATGAATAAAAATTAGAAAAAGTAGAGAAAGAAGAAAGCATTAAATGCAGTTTGTCAAAATAAAAATATTGGCTTGGAAAATGAGTATTGTGTTAACCTTGTATTTATAAATACTTTGGATTAACGAAAAAATTTGTGTGTATGATTTTTGATACAGGAATAATAAGAGTTTTGAAAAGTTATGTATAAACTATATGTTTTTGGAAGGTAAATCATCTGAAATTTCAAATTTTTTATTTGTTTAATTTGTTTTCTGTCTTTTGTTTCAACTAAACTATTATAGTGTGTATCCTTAAGTGATTGTGGGCAACATTGGTTTAAAATGTTAGTTATGTAATTGTTGAGTGGAGTATTTTGTGTATAGGCAGTGGAGTAAGAAAGAAATAGTTCTAGAATGTGAAGGATCTTCTAAAAGTTGAAACAGTCATAAAATTAAAAGGCAAGGGAATTGAACAAATACTTTAATTGTCTAGCATGAGTTTAAGCGTGTAAAAAAGTTAAAATTTAGTGTATTTTCAACTCATTTTTGTTTGTTTGTTTATTTGTATAGTTAAATTTTTTTTTAACATTATTGTTTACTGTTCTCTTTGTCGCACATTTAAAGCATATCCACGTATGTCTGATTGTCATTAATATTAAAATCTTTGTATGATTGATGTTAATATAATTTTTACATTGTTAAAAAGTTGAACGAATTTAATATATCTTTAACAGTTTGTTGTAACTAATTTTTTATTTTTGTATATTTTGGTTTTTTTGTGTATGAATGGTTTAATACATTTGCTAATAATGTTTATGAATTATTTTAGATCATATTGCTTAGATTGGAGTTGAAATATTTAATAGTTCTTTCTGCTATCGTGATGGATATTTTGGAAATGTCCATTCATGAATATCATGTTATTGTTAACTTTGATGCTGCATCTGAAAGTGGGAATGAGTTGCATAGAGAGAGAGAGAGAGAAAGGCGAATTAGAGTTAGAAATAATTATAGTGATTATCATAAAAGGAGAAATGATCTTATGTTATCTAAAAATAATTATTCTGTTGTTACTCAGCTACATGAATCCATAATGCATCAAAATTCTGACGCTTCAACTTTAAATCAAAAAACACATAATATTTTTTATTCTGAATTTGAAGGAACTTTCAAAGGATTCAACATACCGTCTACTGCACATGTATGGTCAACATCCAGTTATTGTAAACATTGTAATGCATGCAAATTTTATATAGAAAGTAAAGAGTTTTATTGTTTTGACGGAAAAGTTAAACTTTTTATATGTGATTCACCAGTTCAATTGTACAATTTATTTACTTCTAAAGAACTACATTTTATGGAATTCAAAAAAAAATTGTAAAGGAATATAATAATTATTTTGCTTTCACTTCTCATTGGTGTAAAGTACGATAAAGAACTCTTTAAAACGTATAAAGGTATTTACACATTCAAAGTTCAAGGATAAGTGCATCATTATATAAATGAACTTATGCCAAAAAATAATACGCCTTCTTATATGCAATTATATTTTTACGATATAGAAAATGAAGTTGAAAATCGTATGAAAATTTCATCAAACTTTGTTGAATCTACTTTGATTGATTTAACCAAAATTTTAAAAACAAATCCATACAGTAAATTCTTTAGATCTTTAAGTGATATGACTGACTTGCATAATCGTTGAATACAGATACGATGTGATCCAGGACTTGATCAAAGAGTTTTCAATACTCTTACAGCATCTCAAGTAGCTGCTATATGGGTAGAAGATGATGCAAATACTAATGTCCGCGCTTTTTGATATCACTATATACAGTTATTCTGATGATTCACAAAAAGTTTATTACTATTATGGGTGTTATGATCCATTGTAGTATCCGTTACTTTTTTTATATGGAGAATCTGGTTGGCATGAAGGCATTGAGAGATGTAGAAATATATACTTTCAGCCTGAACGTATGTCCACATTGAATGTTTTTTCTAACATAACTACTTCTGCAGCTGAAAGTAGCGAAAAAGAGAACGAAGGTTTGTAAATATATTTTTTGCTAGAATTTTTTATGTTTTGTGTTATCTTACCAAAAAATATTGAATTTAGTTTCCCTTTGGGTTTTGCAGTGCTCAATGAAGCGAAAAAAACGTACTCAGGTATCTTGTCAATAATATTATTCATATAAATTATAGATTTGGTCTTTTGGCAAATCTGTGTTACTTCACGTCGGTAGATTATTTCAACAATATGTTGTAAATATATACATTAAGATTGAAACTACTAGATTAGATTATTTTCGTAATAACCAAAAACAAATTCGTGTCGAACTTTACCAAGGTATTGTAGATAGTGTTCAAAATAGGGAAACAAGGGAATGCGAAGTTGGAAGAAAATTTGTTTTACCACAATCGTTTACATGTGAGCCTCGCGATATGCTAAGAAGATATATGGATGAAATGGTTCTTGTGCAGCGTCATGGAAAATCGGATATTTTTTTTACTATAACATGTAATCCGAATTGACCAGAGATTAAGCAAGAACTAAAAAACAATGATGAAGTTCAAAATTGATCAGATTTAATTGTACGTATATTTAAAGCAAAATTAGAAGAATTGAAATATGAATTATACAAAACAAGTATCTTAGGTCATGTTGTTGCACATATATACGCGATTGAATTTAAAAAAAAGATGACTTCCTCATGCGCAAATGTTTTTAATATTTAACTCTGTAAATAAAATTACTCGTGCTGAAGAAATTGATAGGATAGTGTCATGTGAAATTCCTAACAAAAACAAATACCCTCATCTTTATTCTTTTATTATTAGACATAATATGCATGGTCCTTGTGAAAATTTAAATCCGAAAAAATGTATGCATAGAGGTAAATAAAGGTTTTAAATATAAATACCCTAGAGATTTTTGTAATGTTACTATATTTGGTCAAAACTCATATCTGTTGTATAAGCATCATGATAATAATATTTCTGTTCGAGTTAGGGGCCAAATGTTAGACAATCGATGAGTTGTATCATACAATCCTTATTTAAGTGCGAAATTTGACTTGTCACATTAATGTTGAATTATGTACTTCTATCAAAACTGTAAATTATTTGCATAAGTATGTTTACAAAGGATATAATCGTATTAATTTTTGAGTTCTTACAAATGAAACAAAGAAGAATATAGAGGAAATTTTTGCTTATCAATCTACTAGATTAATATCTCCATCTGAAGCTATGTGGAGGATTTTTTCCTTTAATATGTCAGAAATTTGTCCAACAGTTTATTCTTTACAGCTTCATATCGAAAATCATCAGCAAGTAACATATGACAATGA